AATGCATCCTGATACAAGTAGGTAATTATTTTAAAATCTGACACCTGCATGGAATTGGCCACCCAGTGGCACTACATAACCAGTCTCTGAATTCATTAACAAATACAGTTGGCTAAAGCTAAATCAACCTGGCAGAAGAGTTTAGTAGCTCTATCCATCTATGAGGTTTGTGATGCTTTACTGATAAAAGGAGGAACTTTCTTACTGTAAGGATGGTTCAGCATTAGAACAGGCTACCTAGAGAAGTGGGTGGGGGGAAATCTCAGAACTTGTTTTCTACTCTAACAGGTAAAAATGCAATATGGAAACAGTTTAGTCATATTACAGCCCTTCATCTTATTACAGTGGTGTAAAAAACCAAGATAGGCCACTGGAAGATTGGCTCCCTGAGCTGTAATTCAAGTTTCTAGAGCACAGGGGAGTGAAGGGGATGAAGGGAAGATAAGTTAACCCCCTCCTACTGACAAAGGTCATTGTCAGAAGAAGTGACAAACTGTAAATGTTACTGGATTAATACAAAACCTTTGTCTGCAAAGTCTCAATCTTTGCTCTGAATGAAAAGCAGTCTACAGCATAGTAGGTTTTGCAATGCAGTACATCAACTGCCTTACCACTTCACAGTTTTTTTTATTGTCTGCAGACAGTGTTGCATCTTTATTCCAAGTATTTGGAAAGGGTCATCATTTGGGTCTTTAATGCAGAAAGTCAGTAGTTTGAAGAAACATTTCTGTCCCTCTAGTTTCCAAGTCCCCTTTTGCCAATATATCCCACCCCTATTTAAAACTGAATATCTAGTCTGCAAGTTACCTATGTTAGCATACAATGAAGGGAGTCGTATGGTAATTTGTTAGTATTAATTACTGGCTCTTTGTATTGCCTGAAGACAGAAAACAAAATTAAATTCAGACAAGTTAATATCAACAGATATTTGAAGTCAATTAAGGATAACCAGGTTGGCATATTCCTGTATAAAGTACTTTTGTCACACCTATATTATGGAATACCAAAACAAGGACAGTTGTTATTTAAAACCAGATAGAAAAACTGTAGATAAAAGGATGATCTCTAAGGCTAGGGACAGACATTAGAGAAACTGGTTTAAGGGAACATCAGAAACTGGTTTAAACCTGTAATAGACCAGACATCCAGTGTACATAAACCAGTTTCAAAATGGCTGAAACCAGTTTGAAATAAGCCTGGTTGAACGTGTAGACTTAACTGATTTGGCTCAAAGTGGTTTATGCAACGTCTGTCCCAGACCCATTCCTGGTTTAAGATAAACCAGATGCCCCCAGCATCCCATCTGGGTGGGGCGCTCTGCTCCAGAGCTGGGCTGGCCCCACCCCTCTGCTCTCTAGGGAGAGCAGACAGGACCTGGAGAGAGACCAGGCACCACAGCCCCATTAAGACGATGTTAGCAGGGAGGGGCTTAATTCCTCCCTCCTTCCCCCACCGCAGCTGGGGTCAGCCCATCTGCCAGGGAGCAGAAGGGATGGAGGGAGGAGTTAACCTTTCTCCCTGGCCCCTTCACCTTAAAAGGGCCGTGCCAGGATGGTTGTCCTGTGGGGCAGGGAGCAGGGCTCTGTTGTATGCTGGGCAGGGGGCTGTTCCCCTTGCTCTTGCTCCTCCTCCCCCCCCAGGGCAGGGAAGAGGGGACTCTGTGGGGCACTGGAGGGGGACTGCTCCTCCTCTTCCCCCTCCCACCCCCCCACCACCACAGGGCTGGGGTAGGGGAGCTCTGTGCAAGGCCACTTCTCCCTGTGCTGAGCAGTCGTTTCTCCCCTGCCGCACTTGCTCAGCCCAGATGGGACAGTCTGGAGCCAGCACAGGGAGAAAAGTGGGGGAATTAAACCCCCCTGGCCAGTTCAGCCTAGACTGCACCCCCCTTTCCTGCAGTCAAGGGCACACTCTAGCACCCCCAGCTCTTGGCCTGAGCAACTGCAGGCAAGTGCCTGCATGTCTGTTCTGTTACAAACTGGTTCAACCTAGGCAGGTTAGATTAGCCTGCAAAAGGTTGAACCAATTCAGGCTCTGCCTTCTTGGAAATCCATCCCTAACCTAAAGATTAAAGTGAAATGGAAAATAGGACTAGCACCACAGCATTTTACAGACAAGTGTAATGTTCTGGAAAAAAAACAAATTGGTGCTCAAAGGGCACAGCTGTGAACATGACTGGGGGGGTTCCCAGGTGGGTGGCAATGGGGCTCTAAAGAAACAAAACAAAACATGAGGATATATTCAACATGAGATAGGAATGAGACACTTGAGCTCCATCTGCTGCCTCACCCGAGTTCAAGGCCAATCTTCATGGTTTGGCCTCCACTTCCAGTCTTAAAAACTCAGCTTGTCTTCCTAAAACTCAGACTAGCAGTCAGTAATCAACATTTCTTAGCATTACATAGCAATATAATAGGATTATAGTGCATCTTATTACATGCTAAACTTATACCATAGGTTAACCTATGTCCAGACAAAATCAAAAGTATTGTAATACATAAACTACACTCACTGTAATCAGCAATCTGATGGCTGAGGGGAAAAAAAAAGGGGGGGGGGGGGCATTTTTCTTTATTGAGCCCAAACCCAATTTAATCACATGACACACTTTTAAGTCTTTTACAGATCATCCCATTTATATGGTATACAATTTAAGAGACTATTTTCTAAGTAATCTCTTAGTGATGCCGTGTCATTTACTCTGTTTATGAGAAGAGACTGATGGGATCTAAAGGTCAAGCTGTTTCTTTCTTCCTCCCTTATATCACCACAAGCAATAAGGTTCTCCAGGTCAGACTATAACCTGTCACACTTCAATAAACCCACTGAACTCTAGATAGGAGACTTGCATAAAACTATCCAACCCAACTTCTTTGTATCCTTGTAGAAGAAAATATGTTGTTGCCCACACCTCCCACATCCCCCTGACAAATCACCAAGATGGGTAAAGGACCTTTAACTGTCCAGTGTTATCAACTGAGGATACAATCTGAAGATTAATGGCACTTAGTGGTGGCAATGATGCATAAAAAGTAAATGAGCAGAGATACAATTAGAACATGTAGTTTCTAAATGGAGGAAGTTCAAACATGGACCTCCCCAGTGATATTGGTACAGAGCCACTTATCAGTCTATTATATTTAAAGAGTAGCTGTGCTCTGAAATTTCATAAAGTAGACTCTTATACTATATAAAACAAACAGAACAGTATACGCTGGAAGTCAGATGCACTTGCATCCTGTAGCAATCTGTAAACGTTTGATTCCAAGCTCCTTCATACCCCTTGTAAAAATTCCAACCTAAAATGCATCTTGCTACCTTAAATTATTGCTTGCAACATGAAGCAGTAACTCTAATTTAGACACAAATTAGAACCTAGCAGCTCTGTCAAGGGATTCTTGGCTGTTCTTCCCTGTAACCATTTGATGCAAGGTGTCTTCCCTCTTTTTGGAAACTGGGTACACATGGTAGACTTGCTACTCAATGTTTTTCTACATGCTTTAAAATTCCTATTTATTTACAATGCTGAGAGTCCTTTCATAAGATCATGTATAAAGAAGAGCATCTCCAGTGACACACTATTACAGAATCTGCCTATGAAAACCTCTGCAAGAAGCATACATTTACTGTTTCAGATGACTCACTCCAGCATGAAGTTAATTGCATTTAAATAAGTCTGTCCACTTACCTGTCCTGGCTGTTCATGCTCCCATTGCAAGCTATATTATTCAGTGCTGTGTCTTAATACACAATGGATGGTGCCTAGAGAGGTGGTGGAATTTCCATCCTTGGAGGTTTTTAAGGCCTAGCTTGACAAAGCCCTGGCTGGAATGATCAAGTTGGGGACAGTCCTGCTTTAAGCAGGAAGTTGGACTAGATGACCCTGTGGTCCCTTCCAACCCTTCTAGATACCTTTAAGAAATGCTTAGATACTTACCTTGCTGGGCTGACTTCCTACCCCTTGGGCAGGGGGCTGGACCCAATTATTTTGTGAGAGCCCCTCCAGGCCTAATGTCTATGACATCTATGAACCCTAATTTTCTATGGTTCTAAGGAGACATCCCTGGAAAAACAATGCAATTAGGGCATACCTCCATGTCAATTGCCTTCCTGCTGTCCCCTTCCTTCAGAGGCAGAAGGTAGCCACTAGCTACCTATACCAATGAATTGCAACAAATTTGCTGCTGGCTCAGGTATATAGGCCACACAGAAGCAGGGGATGGATCCATTATACTATTAGTCACTCCCACCCCCAAACAACTACTTGCAACTGAAGGGCATAATGTACAGAACCTACTTCCAGCTATGCTTCTAGGCTCATAAACTGCATAACTTATTGAGAGTTGTACAGCTTCTTAACACCCCTGTGACTTAGAGAACAAGCTCACTCAATCAAGTCCCAATGTGAAGAAACCAATCCTCCTAAATCAGCTTCACCTCTTCAAAGAGAAGTGGGTTTTGGGAAGTGTTCATAGGGCAAGCAGCTGTAAAAACCTGGAGACTACTCCATTTGGCAGAAATTACCTCAGATGCAGTTACCTGTGTTAGTCTGAAATCAAGCAGAAAGCAGGGTAGATTTGTACCTTACAGACTAACCAAAGTAGGTATGTTCTCTCATGCACACACCACAGGCTTTCATGGGCTGAAGTTCACTTCAAAGTTAACTCCAAGAGAAGTACAGGTAAGAGAAATTCACTGTATATGTTCCTACTAATTTAGTCCCAGTTGGTTTTTTTCCTAACCTTGTATCGTAATGTATTAATCACAGGTATGTCACAAAATCTGGCTCTTAGTCATTTATTTTTCACACCAGCTCCAGGCTGCTGGTATTTCTCAGATGTGAGAGATATGGGGCATAGAGCTCTATTATTTCATGTAGAACAATAGAACTTTTCCTGCTGCTGAAAGCATTTCATTGAAAGAAAAAAAAAAAAAAAAACCACACACCACACACACCAACCTCTCTCCAACAAATGGAACAAAAAGCACAAAGCCAATAAGTGCCTAGAATACCCAGAAAGAAAGATTTATTGATTTGCTCCAGAACTTAAGTACATAACAAAGTTAGAAGGTTATAAGGACAGCCAACATTGGCTCTGGTAAGTATGAATTGCTCTTGTCAGTTTATTTCTATGACCATGCCATGATGTGTCATGTTACGTTAATTTGGGGGTAGCAGGGGAAGCATTTTGGAGGATTAGGATCCAAAGTGACCTTGGTAAAACAGGAGACGTTACCTGAAAGTGCCAACTACTGTCCTTAGGATGGAACACAGTCACATGCACAAATACAAATTAGGTGATAACTGGCTAGACTGCAGTACTACAGGGAACAAGACAAAGCAACAACACTATGCACAGATACTGTAACAGGAGAATGGAAGTCACTTCACTTCAAGTGTGACAATTCAGTACTAATAAGGCTTCACCTGGGAGTGCTGTATCTAAGTTACAATAAGTGGACATTGCCCACATATTTCTTGAAGAGGCTAAATTCAAGAGAACAAAGTCAGAGGCCTAGAAAACACACACAGTCACAAGGAAAGGCTTAATAGTATTTAGCATGGAGAAGAGACCAAGATGTGTGGGGTTCACAGGGAGGGGTGGAGTTAGAAAGAGAAAGTAGTGGGAAGTTGTTAATCCTGCAAAATAAAAGGTAGTTTAAAAAGTTGGCAATAAAGTGGGGGGGAGCTTTTCTAGCCCCTCCCCCCCGCCAAGATACAAAATTTGCAATTCAAAAACTAAAAAGGGGCTGTCTACGTCTACAAGTTACTGTGCACACACACGCACTCATGCCTTTGTCCCACAGAATCTGCTCTGCATGTTCTATAAGCAGTGAGATGTGTGACGGCACAAAGCGGCAGCCGTGCACTTTTGAACTAAAGCATCTCCAAGGTTCATTTCACCACTTGTACAGCTATGTGCATCAAAGCACCTGTGCTGTGGCATTTACATGTTAAAAAAAAAGCTACACAGTAGGACCAGGACACACATTTTAGGTAATGCTACTGTGCAGTAACACAATTCTACTTCTATGCATCAACATAGATTTTACCCACCATGCTAATGTACAGCAGAATTAGCCTACTGCACTTGAAGCTTCATGTACAGGTGTGCTAAAGGAAATCTACATTGAATACTAGCAAGAACTTGAAAGTATGAGGGTGGTCAACTACTGGAGTGAGTTGCATAGAGATTGTAGAACCTGTGGAATAGCGCAGTTTAAACCAACATACACTTTGGTGAGCTTTTAGACAAAAGATATCCCAACTCAAGTAAGAAGTTTAACTAAGTGACTTTTATCAGTTCCACCATCCACCCTCATTTCTTCTGTGTAGAAGCCCTTAACAGGCAATTAAGATGCAAGAGCCAGGCACCACTCTGGTGACATCCTATATGGAATACCTTACTTGTCCCAAGTTTGTGCCTGTGGTGATAACCAAGATAAGGAGGAGTGATGAGAATAGAGTATTGAACCCTCAAGATGGGAATTGAGTTGTTGCTCTCCCCTTTCTGTGGGGAACATATGAATGTTACTGTGCATAGATATACTAAAAGCAAGCTTCTAGTCACCTTGAGAGGGGGTGGAAGGGCAGGGAGGGGAAAGAGAGGTAAAGTGCAACCCAGAACTGGGTAAATAAATTTTAAAAGAAAAAACGCATATGCATGGACCACCTCACCCCTCCCACTCAAAAAAAAAAAACAACCCTTAACCAAAAAGCCACAACTGAGACCCACTTTGCAGCCAGCATGACGCTCCCATGCTTATTTAAGGATACTAGAATCTTACAGATTGAGAGAAGCAGGTTACCCCGTGCCTTTTCTAGGCTTCCTTGATAGTTCGTCAGTTATGAGATATTATCAGTACGAGATAGGACACTTTACTGGATGGATATGCCTACTCCTATTTAGGACATTTCTACTGGGACAAGAATATTTCACCATCTCAGCAGTGCATCTAGATAAGCCAACCATTTCTTCCCAGTATCCAGAAGGCCCAAAAATGGATGTTAGTCTATGCAAGTTAACAAGCTAGTAGTACAAGTGAGATTTGGATAGAGACCTAGTCCCAGATTTACTTAAAGATTTGTGATCCCTCAACTTGGGTAGTTACATTTGACTTACTACACTATAGAAGCTTCTGATCCTAAAAGCTCTCTGGGATCTGCAGTGCTCAAAACATGCCTATAAAATTCCAGAGCAATGTCAACTACAGTACCATCTTACCAAGTAATGTATGGAAATTCATTTTAGACGCAAGTATTATTTACCTAATTCTTTATTTAGAAAGTTAGAGAGGGTTAAAAGCCTAGAGAGAAAGAGACACGAACAAGCTTAGTAAAGCTCAATAAATAAAAGAAGCAGAATCTACTTCAAGACTTCTGGCACAGAGGAGGCAAGTCAATGATTTCATCCAGGGTAGAAAGGAAGCTGGCAGTTGATTGTAGCAAGTCTGGAAGAATTTAAAAAAAAAAAAGTCAAATAAAAAGCAAATGGAGCAGGTGAGTCTCAAAACCCAATCATTTGGAAGAAACACCCCCCACAAACAAACGCACCTCAGTTTCACATATTGGAGATAGTTTAAAAATAGAGCTAGCAATTGAGAAGTTTCAAATCTCAGTTATTTGCCTGAGTTTAGAATTCTCTGGAACTGGCAAGAAAGCTACAAAGATCGGGGGGGTCCCCACCATCCCCCTTGATTCCTGTTTTATTCAGAACACACACAACACAAAATGCCAGACAGGGGGTTGAGGGATGTGCAACTGCACCTCTTTCTCCTCTCCACCCCCAGTCTGCAGCTGTGTATGGCCATTTGTAGTTTTATTGCTAGTTCAGTCTCTTCAGTCCATAGGTGTTAACAATCCATCCATTTGAGAGAGAATCATTAACCTCCATACAAAACAGGACCTTTTCAATAGTGTTGTTGTTCCACTATTCAAGCCTTCTGTCTGCAGTTTTACTGTTTGTTAGCCATCCCTGGTAACAGGCAGTATGAGCGATGGCTCTTTCACCTCTGCAGACTGTTTTTAGCTATGGCCAAAAACATTACATTCAGGTGTAGAATTAACAGACGGTCACGTATTAGAGGCAATGTTAAGATACTCAGAATGACTAGATTTTGTTCTACAAGTTTAAGTAACTGATGTACATTTAAGTATGACTACAGGACTAGTTAAACAATTTTTTTTGATTATTTTCTTGCACTGAAGTTTCATATATTACCTAACAAATTAGCAAACGTTCCAATAAGGTTTTTTTTTTTTTTAAACTCTGATATCAAAATGAATAAGTAGTCCTAGACCCCTAGAAAATTAGTAACACTTCTAGCTTCTCTTTAAATGGAAGGAGGGGTGGGGAAAGAGAGTCATGTTATGAAGAGATGCTCCACACCATCTATATCATACCCCCTTCTCAAAATCCTAGATCTGCCCATGACCATACACACCCTATTTTTAGTCTGTAGCAAAGTTCTAGCATGAAGACAGACATTCACAGCATGAAATTAAGTTGGTGTTGCCATGGAGCTAAAAGATACACACAAAAAAAAAAAAAAAAAAAA